TGATTCCCAGCATCAGACAGTGGACTTGGTACATTCTCAAACATTTCGCCGGCATCGTAGTCGGCATCATTAGTGAGTATTGCCATTCTCTGCACCAAGCTACGAACTCGTCGAAAATGGCAAAACTCACTGATGATGTTCACTATGATGCCGGCGAAACGTTTGAGAATGTACCAAGTCCATTGTCTGATGCTGGGGATCATGACAACTACTATGGCAGACGACTTCGGACTAGGTGCCTTCTACTAAGTCGCCTTGACAACAAGACCAAGTTGCGACAACGAGGTCAACCCACTTCTATTGCTCATTTTTCGTTTTATAAGTATGTTTTTGGGACTAAATGTAGCTCATATCCATTAGTTATAGTGACCTGGTTATAGAGAACTGGTAATTGATTTTTCCGCAGTGTGAATATATCTCTGGTGTATGATCTACTGGTAGCATCGAAAACCTATCTATAAATAGAATCAACCGTGTTCTCGCAACTCGATTGTAATGTCAGGGCAACCAAGATGGACACACATATTCCGACATCCTCTGCCTGAATAGGCACTTCTCTTTCTAGCCTAGGACCATAGACTTGGCATATTCCCAGACGTTTTGCCGGCCACTTAGCCTGGCCATTCTTAGCCCGAGGCAAAATCTCGTCATGGAGAAATGTGGGTTAGATAGATGATGTTTTCTTAACAGAAATCAATGGGATCATTAGGAAAATCGGAAATCAAGTAAAGACGGTTACAGTGACTTTATTTTCGTATTGGAGTAGAGTTTCAAGACTACCAGTAAATCAGTAATATGAGATGTATTTACCCTATTTAGTCTAAGGTGATGAAGGACTGGTAGTAAAATTTTCCCACAATGATATGAGTTGAGCTGACGTTTCTATTCAATTTCCCATCCTGCACTGTCGCGGTTCGACTCCCGCTGAGGTTGTTGATAAGAACGATGCGAGGTCGAAACTGCAGTTTACTGGTGCCTGGATGATAACAACTTTTGTGGAAGCAAGGCTATGTGAAATTCAATGGAAGCTTCAGCTCAACTCATATCATTGTGGGAAAATTTTACTACCAGTCCTTCATCACCTTAGACGAAATAGGGTGAATACATCTCATACTACAGTGACTTTAATCAAGCAAAGTAAATAGAAGCAA